TATCAAACTGTACTTGTACAATTATACATTTCCTGTCTTTATTTTACAATTCAATAGAAAGCTCCAAAAAATTAAGCGCATATATCTCAGTTGAAGAATAGCATCTGGAGTTACTCTCATCAGCTACCCTTTTAGTAGAAAAATGACCAGGAGTTAAGAAATCAAGTTCTGTCCCAATTCTTCAACTAACCATCTCCGTGACATTAATCTTACTGACTGTTCTTGCTTCTCTCATCATGATCACGTAAGGAATCTGAACTAGAATAATCTTAATGCCCAACATTTCAGCTGTGTAATGATCCTCGACCCGCACCTCAGGCTCCAGCCACTGCCTCTTTTCCAGAGAAACCCTCCGCGAAGGGCTGGAAATCCTCCCTGAATCCACTTCTCTCCTCTTTTGAGATACTTGGCCCAGGTCTTCATCCCCAAGACACCACTGAGCTGCTCTGGCCACAGACACAGGGGACCTCATTGTGCCAAATCGGGGATCCGTTCCCCACCGTCCTCTGACCACACACCCCAGCGGCCGACACCAGAGCTGACCCATCTCTGGGACACGGTCACTAACTGGGCTCTGCCGTGTCACTCTCTCGGGGTGCTCCTTTGTCCCACTGGTCACTTTCTTCCAGGCTCCTCCTGGTTGCCCTGACCTGTAAGACTAGAAGGTGCAGGGATTCAGACCACAGGGCTTTGCTTTCGCCAGGCCCACCCACAGGGCTGGTCTCCTTCCACGCCATGACCTTGATATACTCTCTATGGTGCTGACGTCCCAGTTTCTCTCCCTCCCTACAGATTCCAGCCTCCAACGTCTCACACACTCCACCCCAGGCTCCTGATTGCTGTCCCATGAACCCGCTCCTCTGCCAACCTCCCCAGTCTAGGAAAGTGGCCACTCAACTCTTCCAAACTTCTGGAGTTTTCTGTGGCTCAGCTCCTCTGCCTTAGCACGTCTCCTAGACTCTGCCTTGCAAGCCCATCCTCAGTCTGAGCCCTTCACACCCTTTCCACTCCCTGCCCCTGGGTCCGCCCTGGTACCAGCCACAGTCCTTTCTTGCTCGAACGATTCAACAGCTTCTCGGTTCAATGGCTTGTAAGTCTCTGTCTTACTCCTGCACTGACTAGTCGTCTTTGCAGCAGCCAGAGGGAGCCTTTGAAAACTAAGGCATATCATGTCACTCCTGTCTCTTGTGGGTTCTGTACTGGGGTGCATAGGTCCCCTGGAAATTCATGTCCTTCCCAGAACATTCTGAGGTCATTTCAGGGGTAGTTGAGACGAGGTCAGGCTGGATAGGGTGGGCTCTCACTCAGTATGCATGGGGTCCTCATCAGAAAGGAGAAAAGACGCAAAGACAGACAGACACAGACAACACAGACTCATGGAAGCCCGCCACGTGATGCATCCACGGGCCATGGGACACCCAGGACAGCAGGCAACACCAGGAACCGGAAGAGCAGGAAGGATTTTCCAGTACAGGCTTTTGGGGGGAGAGCGGCCGTGCCCACACCTTGATTTTGGACTCCCAGCCTGTAGACTGGGAAAGAATCAATTCCCACTGTGGTAGCCACTCACATTTAGTTTTGTGTGCTTTATGGCTCAGAATAAAGTCCAGAGTCTTACCTGGCCCATAGGCCCTCCGTGATCTGCTCTGCTTTCTGGCCTTGAGTCTGGCCTTTCCTCCCCACACACCCGTCTGGCCCCCGGGCTGCCGCGGGCTCTTGGCGGCTCCCCGTGCCTAACTGGGCTGTGTTCCGCTGGGCACCTGCGGTTTCCCTCCTCATAGCACCTGTCAGAGAAGCGGGACCCTTCCACCGACACAGAGGAGCGACTTCCCTCCACGGCTGCACCAGCGTCACTCCTGACGCCCGTCCTACTGCCCTGCTCCTCAGACAGACTTTCACCCAATGACCTATTGTACGTTCTCGGCTTAGAGCAAATCTCTTGAGAAGGGAGGCTTGCTGTTAGGGTCCCTGCTGTAGGGAGCATGCGCAGAGCAACTTTGGGCACTTAACAAGCACTTGCTGAGCGCATGAGTGAACACCTTCTCGTTTGCTTACTGGACAATTTCCTCGTGTGGCAAGAGTTGTTCCAGGCAAACTGGGCCTGCTTGGGGTTTGTTGGGGTCGAGAATGGAGGCTGCACAGATCAGGTGAAGTCTCGCGCAGTATTTGCTGGGACAGCAGAAATCAGGGTTGTCATCTCTAGAAGCGTGTGGAGTGGAGGTGGCGGGGACGCCAGGCAGGAGGTCAGCGAGGGGCAGAGGGACAGAGCAATGGGGAGCATTTGGCTGGTGCTAGCAGAGGTTCTCATAGAATGAGATCCATGGCCCTATAGTGAACGCAGATCCGCTTTTATTTAAGGGCATCCCACTCACACTGGCCTCAGAATTTCGTCCATGGGCTCTGCGGCTCGCTGCGGGTGTGGACAGGTCCCAGCACCCCTGCAGTTTGTCCCCGGGAACCCATGTGGGTCTCCGCTGGGTCTCTGAGCCCCTGCAGGGTGGTGATGGCTGGAGCGGAAGAAGCTCGTGCCCCCGGTGGCCAGAGGCTGGAAGGAAAGAGCCCCTCTGTAATACGAATGCCTCGGACTTCAGGAAAACATCTGGGGGACACGCAGAGGCAGCTCTGCTCCACGGTTTGAATTCCTAGCTAAAGCGCTGTACCTTCCAGAGCAGCCTGGCGGGAAGCTTCCTGCTGTTTTGCTGTGTTTCTGTAAGGAAGTCGGGGGCGGAGGGGGGGGGTGGCAGGCGAAGGGGCATCACATGGAGTCAGGTTTCGGTTCTCTGTGAGAGAAGTAACCAGCAAGGCACCGTCCACGGGAAGGCGGGTAGCACTCCAGAGAGGGGTCGGAGCGGGCTCGGAGGGCCAGGCGAAACAGGTGAGCAGGGGTCACCCTCCAGGGACGGGATGACAGGCCCCTCTCTGCCCACACGGCTGGGAAGGCGGCGGTGGCCTCCCCTGCCCGCCAGGGGGCACTGTGTGGCCGCCGTGCTCCCCTGCTCCTGCCCAGGAAGGGGGAGCCCCGCGGTGGGGTCAGAAGGTGGAGGACCTGGGGTTCCACACACTGGGCTCTCTGGCGCTCACCGGGCAGTGCGTTCTCATCCCACATGGGTGGGAGGGAAGAACAAACAGGGAAGGGAGCGAGGCAAAGGGCCTGATTGCCAGACTCAGGTACTCTCCAGCTGTGTCATCAGCCCACCTTCCTGCCCTCACGCAGGGAGGGGACAGGTCGTCTTAGGTGCCAGCATGGAAGAGAGGACAGAAGGCGCTGGGAACGCGTTGAGAGGGCACCTGAGGCAGGCAGGCTGCTGCCTGCAGGGAGCAGGGCCATTTTATAGGATCTCCCCAAAGAAGGGACCTCTCAGCTGAATTCTGAGCACTCCGTTAGCCAGACAGAGGAGGACAGGAATTTTCGTAAAGCTAGCGATAACTGCGACGTCGCAGAGATGAGAGAGGCATTTATGTTGCTCTTTGGGGAAAGGACAGGGGTGGGGGGCCAGGGTGAGGTGGGACAAGCTATGGGGAGCCCTGTACACCAGGTGAGGGCGTTGGGACTTCATCCTGAAAGAGGACAGTCATTGCTGGTGGATGGGGAGGGACAGCCGTGTGTCATCTTTACACTCTGAGGGACGGTCGGTCGGGTCACCCGCCAACAGAGGCCACAGGGAGAGACGGGGCTTAGAAGATTCCCAAATAGCAGGTGACCCAAACAGGGCTGGTGACTGATGGGGGGTGACAGCTGGGGTGCAGAGGCGTCCGGGAAGAGCCTCCAGCAGTGGGCCTGATGCCTGTGGGTAGCTCTTCAGGGGAGGGGGACCAGAGCAGCAGGGTGGTCACTGGATGGGCTGGACATTGGGATGCCCACCTGCCTGCAGGAGCGGGGGACACAGGTCATGTGGCCCGGGGAGGGAGGGGCTTCTGGGAGAAGTCTGGAGTTGGGCCAGTGGAGGTGCACGGAAGTGAGCCTGGAAAGGGTCTCAGGAGGAAGAAGCCTCTCTGGCTTTGATTTGGATGTGAAGCTGGAAGTGGGTGTCAAATACCTTATACTCACTCAGCTCTCATTTGATGGTACCATGTGTCTTCTCTCTGGCCGGTGTCATGCCCTGAATAGGAAGCCCAGGCTGGAGCAGACCCTCACCAGCCAGAGTTAGGGTTAGGGTTAGGGTTAGGGCTGGACCTCTGAAGGCCCTTGGCCCCAGCTCTGGAGTAGAAGCTTCTGGTCTCCTGCAGGGTAAAGCAGAGAGTGACCAGGCCCTCACTGAGTGCAGCCCCCTTCTCCGGCCTCCTAGCCCTCCTCGCCCCACCTGTTCACAGAACCCCATTCCCACTGCACGCCCTCTGCCTCTGTCAGGGGTCCCGGATGTCATACTGCCCTAAAACACACACAGACTTCTGTTGGACTGTGCTTGCCTGCATTCTTTGCTGAACATCCCTTTATGTTTTAGGATCCAGAAAATGATTCTCTTTGAAAACACTGACAAGGCTCCTTTCATCCAATAATGATGATTATATAATCTGTGGTTGTTTTTATTGCCTTGGCTGCCTGTGGACTTGGGCTCATTTTAGCAAATTAGAGGGACTCTCTAGATTTCTGACCACATTTCTCTTTATTAGGTGCTTTTTAACTTTGTTATTTCTACATTTAGCATTTTCTTTCAGATATATCTCCAATTTTCAGGAAGTTTTTTATGATATATTGTGACATACATCCCTACATTATGGATTTTTTAAATCTTGCCCCTTTTAATTACTCTAAGCAAGTAACACAAGTATGCATTTATTGCTGAGGCCTGGGAGTTGGGCCAAGAGAGTTGGGATTGTTGGATCAAGTCCTAGGCTGCTTGGGAAGCCCTGTACTTTAACCTTCATCCAGGGGTGGGACACCCCATCATACACAGCACTTTGCAGACGTCACAACAACACTTTGTCTTAATGATTCCTTACGAAATGCCAAGATTCTCACTGTAGAAAAGGAGCACTAAGAGCAAGATGAAATCACTTACTTTCTGCTACAATCCAATACTGGTGTGACCTCGGGCGCTGGCCATTCATCCTTCACCCGCTGACCAGGCAGAGACCAGAGCGGGGCGGGGGGGGTGACTCTCTGTCCGGGCCCCGCATCGGGGTTCTTGGGCACATTCTCAAACTCTTCTCACCAAGAAGTTCGAAGCAGGAAGAGGAGAGAGAAGGCCCTTGTGCCGTAGGCGATCTTCCAGGGAGAGCTGGGGACGCAGCCGAGTGGCTGGCTGGGCAGATGGGAAGGTGCTATCTGCCGGGAACCTCCGCTGGCACCAGCCAAATGTTCCCCAAGCAGCCGCCGCCCGTGTCTGCATCAGGCTGACCTGCAGGCCTCCCGTCCCTCGAGGAGGCCTGGGCTCTGGGCAGCCCTGGCATCAGGCACACTTTCCCATGAGCATCAACAGGAGCAGACAGGATCATGTGCTCAGCGATCTGATCAGAACTCTGGCGAACACTCAGCATCGAGTGAAATCATCCACGGCAGCAAAATCCCTGCCGTGGGGACACTCGGAGACTCTGCGCTGTTGCTCGCAGTCCTCACCAAGCTGGCCTTTGCTCTCGGTGTTGGGACAAGGGTGGTCTTTGGGCCTGAAGTTTGAAACCAGGCTCCTCTGCCCACATTCTCATCTTCGAGGGTCTAACGGATCAGGGAGACCCTCCGGGCAGGGAGGGGCCGAGCACCCCTAGCACCAGGACAGAGAGTCCAGCTTCTGCCCTTTAAGCCAGGTCAGCCTATCCCCTCCCTCAGACACTCGACAGCAGGCGGCCTCTGGGTCAGGAAACCACAAGGTCCCAGTCACAGAGGACACATCCCCAGCCTTGCAAAAAAAATCTTTAAAAAAATAAAACAAAATAAATAAGATAAAATAACATAAAATATCAGGACAGCTTGCGTCCCCTCTGTGTCTGGGCTCTGACGCCGGACATGGGCTTGGACTGGTGGCCCTAGTGTTCTCTGCAGCGCTTTGCCTGTACTTCCTGGACCTACTCTCAGCCTGTGGGTCCTTTTCCGTGGACCTTTGGCTCAAGGCGCACTCCTCAGTGCCATCTATGCCTCAGCAGACTCCTAGCGGGGTCAGGAGAATCCGGCCCGTTATCTCTAGGACAATCTTCAAGGGCCTCTCTGGAAGGTATGAGGTATTCTTAAGTAAGTGAAGGTGTCTCACTTACAAAGGCTCTGAGCTGAGAGAGTAACCAAAGGTCAGTTGCAAATCAGCCTGTCTTATCCTGATTTGCATCCAGGAGCTGCACATCCTTTATGTCCGGAATCCTAAACCTCCAAGTTGGAGGGACCATGCTTGTCATCTACCCCTCGTGGAAGGCCTTCTATACAAATACCTTTGAGTTTTTGTGAAATAACCGAAACTCCGTGTTGGGAGATGGTCAAGAGTTCTCACAGACAAATGTGACGCAAAAGGGAAAACAACATCACGAGATTCAGAGAATATGAAGACTCAGTTTTGCTGAGACCATGGAGGGCTTCGAGAAGTCATGGGAGGCAGGATGGGAGGGCAGAAATGATTCGGATGGAGACACAAGGGGAGGCCCGGCCCCTCCCTGCAGAAGCAGAAGAGATATGAGGAGGATGCGAGGTGGGCAGAGGGTCCACAGAGGCCGTGGAGGAGCAAGTGAGCCAGCCGGAGGGGAACCACAGGACCAGGCTAACGGACTCAACTCATATTGACTGCGGGAGCAGGTGAGGGAGGCAGGGTTTGTCTGGAATTTCATGGAGAGACCAAGGAATGGGTGAATAGTTCTTTGAATTATTGATGGATTTTCTTCACTCAACAAACATTCACTAAGTGCCTGCTGGTATTGTATCCCAGACATGGCAGAGCTCAAGGTTCAGTTGAGGGAGATGCTCATACAAAAACTAAATACAACAGAATATAAGTTGCGTAGGCTTGTGAGGACAGTCACATAAGCTGGGTGCATTGGTGTGGAGGGGCAGGAAGGTTCTCAAGGTCGAGGAAGCGTGTGAGCAAAGGTCTGGAGCAGAGTGTCCTGGAGAGGAGCCTGGCAGCCTCCTGTGCGCCCTGGGACTGGAGACACTTGCCTCGTTGAAGAGGGGGGCACGAAAAGGTTTTAGGGAGATGATAGGACTTTGTTAAACGCCCAGAAGAATGCTGGGCTGGGGTGGAGGCTGGGGCCAGAGGGGGGCTGCCCACTGGGAAGCAGGAGGTGTGGGAATGTGCAGAAGGGCCACCTTCTTGGGACACGGATGGAGCAGCCTTGGTGAAGGGCAGGGACCAAGGAGGAAAGATGGCACCTCAGGGTGAAGGGGGAAAAGGGACACCCCAGGGCTTCCGTCAGAGGCGCCAGAGGGTGCTGAGCTCCAGGGAGAAGGAAGACGTCTCAGAAGGAGGCAGAAGCCAGCATTAGCAGGGGTGACAGATGACGAGGATGGGAATAGACTATTGGTGGACGTGGGTCCTGATCAGAATGTGTACGTGTAACAGGTAACAAATCTGCCCACAGTCCAGGTTTATCTTGTTGTTAGCCTTACGCATTGTAGTCGCAGGCATGCTAACTCACTTATGTGATGACCGTGGTGTGTGTGAGCTAGGTGAGTATTTAGAATAAAAGTATCTGCATGGGAGATACGACCATCATATAGTTGCATTTATTTAGAAACTCATAGTCTGTAAACTTCAAGGGACATAAACTCTCATCTGCTTTGTCACTCACTGACTCTGAGAGGGAGTCAGCTGACTTGCTTGGATGTCAGTTTACCCATTTGTAAAATCAGAGTGTCCGACTCATTATTTTCACAAACAACAACAACAGTGAGTACAACAACAGGTGGGAGCTCTTGGTTCTACCTAAGCAAGTTGCCGTTGGCTGATGATGCACTCAACTTTCTTCTTTGTGTCCGACATTAATGGATTCCTTCATGCATACTCTCCATCTCCACTGGTGACATGGTGGACTGAAAACTTGTTAGAATAGGAAAAAATTATACAAAAAATGTATCTACGTTCTGTCTTCAGGACGGCTAAATACTGCTGACACTGTTGTGAAGAATCAGCTCTAAAGCCTGAGGCCCGCTGGGTAGAGCTCTCTTGCGACACCCCATCACATGGCCGTCTCTGCTCCTGCCCCCTCCGCTGGCTTTGTCTGTTCTGAGGCAGCTGGCCTGGCCAGGTTCTTGGCCTCCAGGTACTCCACAGCCCCGTACGCCAGCATGGTCAGACTCAGGACTCCCAGGAGGATGTAGAGTTTGATGTTGACGCACAGGAACGTGCTGTATCCAAATGCAATGACGAACCCCAGCGCTTCCCACAGGCGGTAATTCGCAAAGGCAGCCTCCTTGTTCTTCTCGAACAGAACGCCGTACAGAGCTGCAGAGGACACACCGCATGAACGTGTTGCTACAAAACCTCAAATGGTTTTTTTCAATTATTGCTGAAAGCAGTGCAGCTTCTCCGCTGACCAATTTTGTCAACAAAGTCAGGAAAGTTTCCTTCTTAAAAGGACAGAATTGTTTTCTGTTGGGGATTATGGATGTCTGGAGACAGTCGTTAGCAGTGAAGAACCATTATACATACAATTCGGGACTCAGGCAATGTTAGCACTGGACGGAGTTAGTCCAGCCTATCACTCGGGGAGTGAGAACATAGAAAAGTGAAGCAGAGCTTAGAGGCCTGGCCTGTGTCAGATGAGGCCTGGCCCTTTGCTGGAGTCCAGAAGCAAAGACAAACACAAGCAATCCTAACCCCAGGACCTCAGGCTGTGACTATATTCAGAGACGGGGCATTTAAAGAGGTGATTAAGGCAAATGAGGTCATTAGAGAGGGCCGTCATCCCATGACTAGTGTCCTTATAAGGAGAGAGGGTCAGGACACAGATGTGAACATAGGGACGACCATGTGGGGACACAAGGAGAAGGCAGCCATCTACACGCCAAGGAGCGAGGCCTCAGCAGAGGCCAGCCTGCCCACCCCTGGGTCTCAGACCTCCAGCCTCCAGAATCGTAAGAAACAAAAATGTCTGTTGTTTAAGTCGCCCATCTGTTGTACTCTGTTGACAGTCCTAGCAGGATAGTACAGTCTGATAAATGCTTCTAGGTGAAAGTAAATGATTTTTGTTCCAGTTTGCAGGATGGTAAAATATTTGATATACTTGGATGAGAACCAGAAGCTCCCCATCTCCTGAGCTGAGTGAGGTGGCCGATGTATAGAGGGGGTTAACAGCTAGGAAGCTGAGGCCCAGTGCTGGCCCATCCTGCTCTGTCGTCCTGAGCTGCCCGGGCCACCTCCCCTCCCCTCTGGCCGGTGGCCTCGCCTCTTCACCAAGGATACCTCCCCTTGTGCACTCCATCCACCGTAACCCGGAAAGGGCCCTGCACAGAGGCCCCCCTCTGCTACCGTCCCCTCGGGGACTTCACCCCATCATGGAACCCCTGTCCTGCACCTTCAGCCTGACTCCCTCTCTTACCTCCTTCTCTTCAGTCTAGAAACAAAGCCGGGTCTTTCCCACATGTCACACACGCTGGGTTCAGATCCCTTGTGCCTCTGTCTACACCGCTGCCTGTCTACACCCTACTGCATGGCAGGCACAGCACTGAGTCCTGCAACATGAAAAGGCATGACGTCTGCTGTCGAGGAGCCCACAGCCCATTAGTGGATTTGGACTCCGAACGTTTGGATCTCCTCTCCATGTGACCCACCTGTCTCGCCTGGACTGTTCACTGCCTTGTCTCTCGTCTGCTCCACACTGACCTATTTCCTCCTTTCTTGTCTTACTTTGCTCCGTGTTACTCCCCACATTGCGGCTAGGATGATCTTTGCAAAGTGCAAATATGTCATGTCACTCCCACTCGGGGAAGTCTTCGGCAACCCCGCCCGGCTCTGGGGTAGATCAAGCATCTTCTCCTCATGGGGGCAGGTCCCTCTGTGACCTGACCTTTTCACTCCAGGGCACCGCCTGTCACTGTGGAGCGTGCCCCCCTGCTTCGGGCCCACTGACCATGCTTCTGGGCCTTGTGCCTTTGCATGCGGCAGGCCTGGTGGGAAGTGCCCTTTGCCAGACCTCTCTGGTGATGGTCCCCCTGTGGTTCTTCTGTCAGGTTCTCCGTGATGCCATCCCACCAAGTGTCTCATTCTTACCCAGAATAATTCCAATGCTCTCATAGTGTCAGCCAAAGCACTTAGTGAATGACCAAGTGGACCAGTGGATGGACAGTGACTTCCTGAAGTCAGTAGGGCGCCAACGGGTAAAACCCCAAGCCCACATCCTGCGGGGTAACCGCAAAGGGAGCTGCCTGTTCGTCTTCTCTCCTTCTAGTTATTACCCAAAAGCCCACCCCAGGATGGAGTCGAGGTAACACAGGACGTGCAGCCAGAGCAGAGCACAGGCCAAGGTGCCGTGTTTGCCCATGAATGAGACAATAGGTAAACAGAAATATCAGTGTGGTCCTGTAGCATGCGGGGTGGGGGGAGAAGAACAGCAAGCCCTACGTCTGCCCCCAGCCCCAGGGGCACCAGCCATGATCTGCACCAGAGACTGTTCTTTCTGGGGCAGCTGGAGTCTGGAAGGTTGTAGGGATTTTGCTAGGACTGCCCGTCTGGCAGGATGGGCAGCTGTGGGAGGGAGAGCCCACGTGGAATGTTCACACACATTCCTTTGCCTGCTCTCATCCTGTTCTTACCCTTTGCCCCTTTCCTCCTCCCTACATTTCGCAGGGGAGGGACGTAGGGAAGAGAAGCCTCTCTGGCACTGGTTTGAGGCCAGCAGCAAGGTCTCCTGCAACCCTGTCTGGAAACGTCAACACTCAGAAGGTTCTTGGCATTTGGTTACTCGGCTGTTTGCCTACCATGGGAAGAACTCAGGAGGATGAGGCCATCAGAAAGATGTAAGATCAGATATACGTCATAAACAACATTCGTGTGCTTGGGAAAACAAGAGGCTGTTTGGAAGGCTCAGAAGAAGGTGCCGAGGCTGTGAAGTGCCACCTTAATGAAAGCACACCCACAATGAGAGTCTAATAACAAGATCTGGGATTTAGTAACTCCTAAGGTTATTTTAAAGATTTCTTGTCTTTCTACAGATGGCCAACAGATACATGAAAAGATGCCCATCATCAGGAAATGCAAATCAAAACCACGATGAGATACCACCTCACACCTGTCAGAATGGCTAAAATCAATAACACAGGAAACAATAGGTGTTGGCGAGGATGCGGGGAAAGGGGGACCCTGGTGCACTGTTGGTGGGAATGCAAGCTGGTGCAGCCACTCTGGAAAACAGTGTGGACGTCCCTCAAAAAGTTAAATATAGAACTGCCCTATGATCCAGCAATTGCACTACTGGGTATTTATCCAAATAATACAAAAATACTGATTCAAAGGGCATCCCTATGTTTATACCAACATTATTTACAATAGCCAAATTATAGAAACAGCCCAAATGTCCACAGACTGGTGAATGGATGAAGAAGAAGTGGTGTTTATATACAATAGAATATGATTCAGCCATAAGAAAGAATGAAATGTTGCCATTTTTTGGGGGGGGGGTGAAGCAGAGGAGGATGGAGAGAGAGAATCTCAAGCAGGCTCAACACCCAGTGCAGAGCCCCAAGTGGGGCTCGATCTCATAACCCTGAGATCATGACCTGAACCAAAATCAAAAGTTGGATGCTTAGCCAACTGAGCCACCCAGGCTTCCCCCAAATCTTGCCATTTGCAATGACATGGATGGAGCTAGAGAGTATAATGCTAATTGAAATAAGTCAGCTGGAGAAAGACAAATGCCATATAATTTCACTCATACATGGAACTTTCCAAGCAAAACAAATGAGCAAAAGGAAAAAGAGAGACAGAAAGAGAGAGAGAGAAACCAAGACACAGCCTTTTAACTATAGAGAACATACTGATGGTGACCAGAGGGGACAAGGGTGGGACGTTGGGTTAAACAAGTGATGAGGATTAAGGAGTACATTTGCGATGAGCACCGGGTGATGTGTAGAAATGTTGAATCACTACATTGTACACCTGAAACTAATATAACACTGTACGTTAACTAACTGGAATTTAAATAAAAACTAACTCACTAAATAAAGATCGCTTGTCTTTTGTTAGAGGGT